AAAGCATTTTACAAAGGAAGGCAGCTGGAAGTTTTCAGTTTGTAGAGTTTGTCTCAGCTCCAGTCATCACTACCAAGGTCTCTCCAGAATGAATTGCTCAGTGAACATACCAACAAGGTAGGAAATGTCATAATTATATTTTTTATTATCCCTCAAAGAATACACTAGTATGGTAGCTATTGCTATAATTTAAAAGAAAAGTGCTATGTAGCAACCATGCCTGCTGATGAAATAAAACAAGCTGGTTTTTCATCCTCTGGCATTAACAAAAATGCAAAGATAAAAAAAGGGATTTTCAGATATTATTCTGTGCCTGTTCTAAATGTAATTGTAGTTGGGCAACAGCTCTGCTTATTGGTTGCTCTATGCTTTTCTCTTTTGAATAAACACATACTCAGCATGTTCTGGACAATCTTCCTGGAAGTCAGATTGGTAACAGTGAATGGTCCAAGAAATGGTGTGGGGACCACTTCACACAAAGGAAGCATTGTGCCTGCTTGATGCAGAGCTGGCTCCTGTATGGAGCTGACACTTGAGTGGGCATGTTAGTGACTGTTGTGGAATATTGATATGATAAGCTCTCCTTCCTTGACCTCCAGCTTCTCTGAAGCCTTTGCCTGAGATGCTTGCAAGAGCTTGCACTCTTGCTTGTATGGCAGCCTAGAAGTGTGGGAAAATGAATGTCCTGTGGGGCGAACCTCAGTCAAAAGGAACCATGAGAAAATGGTTAAATGCTTCTCTCTTTTGTCCCTAGGGCAGACAATTCTCGGAATCATTCTATACATTTCCTCATAAGGTCAGACAATTCTAAGACTCATTTTAAAATATGTTTTTATTGATTTTTAAAATATATTTTATTGAATTTTTACAGAGAGGAAGAAAGAGGGATAGAGAGCTAGAAACATTGATGAGAGAGAAACATCGATCAGCTGCCTCCTGCACACCCCCACTGGGGATGTGCCCACAACCAAGGTACATGCCCTTGACTGGAATCGAACGGACCCTTCAGTCCACAGGTCGATGCTCTACCCATTGAGCCAAACCAGTTAGGGCTGTTTTTATTGATTTTTAGAGAGAGAGGAAGGTGGAGGGAAAGATAGAAACATTGATGAGAGAGAAGCATCAATTGGCTTGCCACCTGCTCACCGCCTACTGGGGATTAAGCCCACAACTCAGGCATGTGCCCTGACCAGGAATCTGAACCAGGGATCTCTTGGTGCATGGGCCAGGCCTTAGACTCATTTTAGCTAGCTCTTCAGAAGATCCCAGTAGAATCAAGCATGGCTGCCCAGGGTGATGGGCCTTTGTACTGACTTTTCCATTTTATTCTTTCTAGGCTTTCACTCCACTCTTGTTTCCTGAGATCATTTCCAAAATAAACTACTTGGATGCAATTCTTTATTCAAGTTCCACTTTTTATGGAGCACCCAAGCTAAGACAATGCCCATTATAAAAGGAGCAGTATTTATGGGCTGAAAGATAATAGGGATGTTTGTGTGTGGATGGTATTGCTATTTAACATGGTTTTCTTTCCTCTACCAGATCCCTAAATATTGGAATCCTGAAGGGCTTAGTTCTTAGCCTTCTTCTTATCTTGATCTACAATTTCTCCTTAGACAATCTCTGGCTCTATGGTTTTAACCACCACCTCTATTTTGATGCCTTGCCTAATTGTATCTTTAGTCCTGACCTCTTTCCTGAGTACCAGAATCATTTATTCAATTGTCTACATATCATCTCCATTTGGATATCTAACAGGCATCTTTCCCATCACCTGTACATAGTAAAACTTGTTGAACTTCCAATAATGCCCTGTAAAAATCCTGGTATGCCTTTACTCTTCCTCATGTCACCACCGCCTTCTAGCTATAGTTCCCACAAGTGAGATAAAAAAAAATCTGGATGTTCTCCATTCGGCTCCTTTCACACATTTCCCAGGAAGTTCTGTCAATTCTCTCTCCATCTGCAGAATAGATCCCAAGTTCATCCACTTATTTGTACCTCCACTGGCATCACTCTTGTCTTAAGCAAAATGATCTTTTGTTAGGATCACTGACAAAAGTCTTCTAAAATCAATTTCTATACTGCAGTCAAAATCGTTTAGACAAACAGATATGCACCACATGCCTCGTTAAAACATTCCAATGGCTTTTTAAGGGACCTAGAAATAAAAGTCTAGAACCTTCCATGCTTCTAAGGCCCTGCTAATGTCAGACAGAATTTTCTGCCTTGCTCCCTTAGGCTCCAGCCATCATGGCAACTTTTTCATTCTTCCAAAAGCCTAGGTTCTCTCTCTCTTCTGGGTCTTACATTTTTCTAAACCTTCTGCCTGAATACTGAATACTTGTGTTTTTTTTTTTCTTTCTTTTTTTTCTTTTCATACGTTACACTCCTTCTTTTTTAGGTCTTGGTACAAATATCTCCTCTTCTGGAGTCATTCTTCTAGTGAGCACCTCTCTAGAGTAGTGCCTCCAATCTATTACTCGAGTCTATTGCTTCTTGTTTGTTTACTTCATAATTCTTTTCATACATTTATATTGTGTCATCAGCCAATTTTATTTTTTTTTATCTTCTCAATTAGGAGATTAAGCTCAATGAGAGTAGGAATCTTGAAAGGATCTGCCACATTTGTGGAATATATTAATGGATAGGCTAATTATTTTGAGAAATTCTTCTGGATGGGTGCATGTAGGCATTTCTTCTTAGCTACCCTGAGGCAAAGAGCCTAATAAACATTGTCTAATATTTCCTCTTTCAATAATCCATAAATCTCTGCATCTTGGGACTCCTAATGAGATCAAGAGATGAGAGTAAACATTTTTTTTTTTTGTGGTAAAAACGTAAAGGCATTCTTATAATTCTTCATTTATTATTTCCTCTGGTAGTCTTGTTTTCAAGTAGGGAGCGAAACTGATGATTCATCCTATAGTAATCAAATTTATTGTGATTATTTGCATTTTCATTTGCTTTTTTTTCTAAGTAGGATAATTATTTCTGAGAAACAATAGGTTTTTATGGGAAAGAAAAAGACTTCATATCTATCCAGCCTAGGATGCTTTTTCTTATAAAAATTACTTGGCTAATTTATACTATAACTATGCTACAAACAGAATAAAATTCCTACTAATTCTTAGCTTCCCCTTTCCCAGCTATGCTTAGATCCATAGTTTCAATTCCCTTCAAAGACACACATAGCCAAAACTTCAATGCCTTTTAGTCCAAGATTCTTTTTTATCCTAGTTTCAGTTTTCATACCTGTTACATCAGGGTTTGAATCCCAGTTTTTTGATGAGTCAGCAAAGGCTGGATCTGTTTACTGGTGGACTGGGGGCCTAGGGCCCTGTCCTCACCTTGGTAGTCTTATTCTAAAAATTTGGTAATAAATATCACTAGTGCCATAGGGGCAAACTTTGCTTTTTATCTTTATGGTAAAAATAAAGATGAAACAAGTCCAGTCCTGAGCTGGTGAAATAGTAATACCAATTACTTTTTGTTATTTCGAAAATATGTATAGACATTCATGCCTGTATATCAAGCCAATATTGCATTTCTAGGCAATTTCCTTCTTAAGGCAATCTTGTGCCGTTTTATTACTTAGGGTTTCCACATACTGGATTTTCCTAAGGAGAGGCACATGGCTATTATTTGTGATTTAGATTCTTGATATATAATAACTCCCATAGGCTTTGTTGTTTTTAAACAAAAACAACTGGTCTATACCCACTTGCTAAGTATATCCTCAGTTTGCAAAATGAAGTAAAATAATTTGATTTTATATCTTGCACCTGACTTTCCTTGTTACTCTTTGAGCATTCGAATGACTTTGAGATTTTATAATACAGAGATTTTCTGTAGTCTAACCTTAGGGAAAATTCATTACCTCCTTGGTAATTACTTGATGGTATGAAAAATACCTGCTCAGTGATCAGTCTCATTAATAGATCTTTTTATTTTTTCAATTACAGTTTACATTCAATACTTTAAAAAAATCTTTTGTCAACCCTATTTTTAAAAATTGATTTCAGAGAGGAAGGGAGAGGAAGAGAGAGATAGAATCATCAATGATGAGAGAGAATCATTGATTGTCTGCCTTCTGCACGCCCCCTACTGGGGATTGAGCCCATGTAACCCAGGCATGTGCCCTGACCGGGAATCAAACCGTGACCTCCTGGTTCATGGTTTGACACTCAACCCCTGAACCACACTGGCCAGGCACACTCAATACAATTCTGTACCAGTTTCCAATATACAGCTTAGTGGTCAGACAATCATATACCCTACAAAGTGCTCCCTTGTTATTCCAACCCCTCGCCTGGCACCATACATATTTACCACAATATCATTGATTATACTCCCTATGCAGGGCTTTCCATCCCTGTGACTGTTTTGTAACTAGCAATTTGTAATTTTTTTTATTCCTTCACCTTTTCACCCTGCCCCCCAAACCTCCTCCCCTCTGGAAACCATCAGTCTGATCTCTGTATAAGGAGTCTGTTTCAATTTTGTTTGTTTATTCTGGTCTTTAGATTCCACATGTCAGTGAAATCATATAGTACTTATCTTTCTCTACGGACTCATTTCACTTAGCATAATAGCATAATACTCTTTAGGGCAGTGATGGCGAACCTTTGAGCTCGGCGTGTCAGCATTTTGAAAAACCCTAACTTAACTCTGGTGCCGTGTCACATATAGAAATTTTTTGATATTTGCAACCATAGTAAAACACTTACATTTTTGATATTTATTTTATATATTTAAATGCCATTTAACAAAGAAAAATCAACCAAAAAAATGAGTTCGCGTATCACCTCTGACACGGGTGTCATAGGTTCGCCATCACTGCTCTAGGTCATCAATCTTGTCTTGACTGACTTGGAAAGAACCAAGAAAACAATTTGAAGTATTTGATCAGTCAGAAGCTGTCCTTGACTGCTCTGAGTGACTTCTGTCCTCCTCACCTCCTCTGCCTGTGCCCCAGGCTGAATCATCAAATGCCTTACCGTCCATGCAGAGGAGTCCAGACCTCCCGTAGGGGCAGAGGCAGACGATGTCTGTCCCAGATTTGGGAACACAGGTGGCCCCGTTTCTACATGAGTTGTTTTCACACATTGCGAACTGGCACAGCTTGCCTGAGTATAGCCTTGGACATGCACAAAACCAGATTTCACCATCACTGAGAAGACAAAAATAAATTATTTATTCAATCAGAAAACGATCTTTTACACACATATACACATGCACGCATGCACACACGTAAATAAAATTACATCTTGTCTAATAAGTGGAATTGTTCTTTGGCCCTTTCTGGGAAGTGGAACTTTTTCTCCTCCTGTTCACTTTCTGTGTTATTTAACTTTTAATTATTTGTAGCTATGTACTTTGCATCGAAAGCAGATTAGCAGCTTTATAGATCATCTGAAGCCAGGAATTCTATTTTAAGCCACCTATTTTTACTTTTGATGTATCTCATCTCCCATTTCACACTAGGTGCCTTTTCAGAGTTCCATTAAATATGTGTGGCGTTGCCTCAACAAAGTGCTTCAAATATCTATTAAAATAAAACCATCTTAGAGAATTTCAAGCCTGGTGACCAGCGTCCTCCACAGAGGACACTGCCCTCCAAGAGTGCCCTTGTGGTAATTTGGAAAGAAAATCTCAGTGGGGAGCTGTGATGACTATACAACTCTCTGGCTGAAAATATGCTTGGTGGCCACAAGTGAGCGTGCCTGGGAGCATGCTGCGCTCAGGAAAAATCCTCCTCTCACCGGGCAGCCTTCTCTGGAGGGAAAGTGGCCAGAAGTCTGCTGTTCTGCCTCCCTGCACCCATCCCCCTTTTAGCTGGAGCCTCAGCAGACCCACCCCTCCATCACTCTCAGCGCAGCCAGCTGACAGGAGGGGCAGACCCTGAATCTTACTGTCGATCACAGTGATGAATGCACTGGCTTTTTTTTTTTTTTTAATTGGGGTTACTAAACTGGTAGCTTCTGGTGGCATCTGCCTGTTCCAAGGGGAGAGCCTGGCTGAGAGTAAATAACTAATACCAATCAACACCAGTATAAGAGGCTGAGGGACATAGATAATTAATGATATTACCTGGGCACCAGATCCAGCCATTACTCTGCAGTTATATGAGCTGATATATTTTAACCCCCTTTTAAATTTTGAACCAATTTAAGTTGGGGTTTTGTCATTTGCTGTTAAATGAATTCCATTTAATATTAATGTCCTTTCCTTCCTTTTTTTTTATCTTTCTTCTCATTATCAAGTCCACACACCTTGCCATATGCGGATCTTTAGGGTTTTATTTTTTCCTGCTTACATCTTATCTTCTAAATATGACTGTGAGCTCTTAAAGGTAGGTGTCAGGTGCATCCCGGAATTAGAAAGCTGGTATATTTTGTCTTTATGACTCAGCCTCCCAAGCTAGTTATAGATTTTGCCCATACCATGGTATTTTCTCTTGTCCTCATCATTCTGGTCTTTTGATGCTTTCCTTATGTATTTTAATCCCCTTAGTCCAAAATAAATTCGCTCGTAGGAAAGTCTCAGGTTTTTTTCATACTAATGAATACCCGACTTTGAAATCTGAAGAGGTTTCCTTTTCCAAATATATATATTGATTTCAGAGAGGAAGGGAGAGGAATAGAGATAGAAACATCAATGATGAGAGAGAATCATTTATTGGCTGCCTCCTGCACGCCCCCGATTGGGGATCGAGCCCGAAACCCGGGCATGTGCCCTTGACTGGAATTGAACCCAGGACCCTTCAGTCTACAGGCTAAGGCTCTATCCACTGAGCAAAACCAGCCAGAGCAAAAAATTTGTATGTTTTTTGTTAATCCTCACACAAAAATATTTTTTTCCCCATTGATGTTTTAAAAAAATATATTTTTATTGATTTTAGAGAGGAAGGGAGAGGCAGAGAGAGATAGAAACATCAATGATGGGAAAGAATCATGGATCAGCTGCCTCCTGCATGCTCCCCACTGGGGATTGAGTCCGCAACTGGGGCATGTGCCCTGACCAGGAATCGAACTGAGACTTCCTGATTCATAGATTGATGCTCAACCAGAGGCCCACTGGCCAGGCTCCCTGCTCCCCCATTGATTTTTTGAAAGGGTAGAAGGGAGGGAGGGAGGGGGGGAGAGAGAAACATCAATGTTAAGAGACACATATCAATTAGTTGCCTCCCGCAAGAGCCCCAACTGGGCCTGGGGATCGCTCCTGCAACCCAGGTACATGCCCTTGATTGGGAATTGAACCTACGACCCTTCAGTGATTCTCTCCCATCACTGAGCAACCGGCCAGGGACAGAAATATATATTCTTTTATATTAAGTTTCTACGTTAATGGGATGAGGCACCATGGAGAACCTTAATGTATCAGATAGCAGGTAAAGCCAGCTTTGGAGGGCTGTGAGGCTTTGAGACCCACAGATTTTGCTGACACATAAGGTGGTCCTGTAAGTGATCAGTAATGTACTCATTTTATATCTCTGATGGCAGCTTGCATAGGGCTTTACACGTAGTATACAGATATAGAATCTCATAGGTTTTCAGAGTTGGGAAAGAAAAAAGATCCATGTCACTAAGACGACAATAAAGCACCTTAGACATACGCTTCTGTTTCTTGCTACCAAACAAAGTTTTGAGGACTGCTGAGCCAAGGCTACTCCTTCTTGCCTGAGAATTGTACTAGTAAAAGTATAACCAGACTACCTGGCAGGTATAGAGATACCTTCAGGTGTGACTTAAAAGTGTTAGTTAGGAACTTGATGTTGTTGAGGGCCATGGATAAACCTAATGTAACTTCCCTTCCACTCACCTAACTTGGGGTTGGAAGCTCAGAATTTAGCATCTGTACTTTGGGAAAAAGTCTAAGAGAACAACACTCTTGCAAGCTGCATTCTGGAAGGACCAAATTAGTCTTTTTATAGTAAAGGAGAATGCCACATATGGGAACGTCAATGAATCTAAATATTGACTGATTGAAGTGCTTTAATCATACGCCCTCACCAGATTTGAGATGCAGGAAAGATGCTTTTATGTTAAAAATCAAGGAAAGCACTAATTTTAATCATGTCCTATTGATAAACCAAGCTTCGTTTCCTTTTTGCTTCCATCAGGTGTTGGGAGAAGTTGGTTGTATAAATTGACGCGGATCTGACTAACTGCGTGCATCTGCACATCCACAGGCAGCTAGAACAGAGAGAAAAATAGAAATTCTGTAGAAAACACTCCAAGAAAGGGGAAAATCACCTTCTCTGGCTAACCAAGGGCAAGTGCCCAAAGCCCTTTGGCCCACCGTACTATTCCACAGCATTATATTAAAAAGAGTCAGATTTAATCAATCAAGATTTTGTCTGATGATGGTAACTGTACACTTCACTTCAAATTTTACCTTCAAGTCCTGCTGGCGTGGCTCAGTGGTTGAGCATCGGCCTATGAACCAGGAGGTCGAGGTTCGATTCCCAGTCAGGGCACATGCCTGGGTTGCATGGGCTCGATCCCCAGTGGGGGATGTGCAGGAGGCAGCTGATCCATGATTCTCTCCCATCATTGATGTTTCTCTCTCTCTCTCCTTCTCCCTTCCTCTCGGAAACCAATAAAAATGTATATTTAAAAAAAAGAAAGAAAAGGAATGATTAAAACAAAAAAAACCAACAAACCAGAAAACAAATTGTACCATCAAGTCCAAAAGATTTCCTGGAGTGCCAGATAGTTTACCAATGATTTTAATAAAATATGTTTGCCACCAGCTGTGTAACACCTGGACTTAAAGGTTTCTCCTATTCAGGTTTTACCAAAGACCTGTTACTGAATCCCAGTTTCCTCAAAGCTAGCAAGTCAACTGTTTCTGCTGCCACTTAACGCACCTTGATGCCTCGCCACACCCTAAAGCGACTGGCAATGCCAAGAAGGACAGAGATGCCCTGAGGTTGAAGGACCTTATGTAACAGTTACTTTTGGAAGCAGTGATTAAACCACGTCACCTTCCTTCACCCAGTTCTTTTTAAATGTTGCCACACTGCCGTGAATTTGTTGGGTGCTGTTTAATTAGTTAGGGGAGAATAAAACACTTTTTCATTTGAGAACATTTTAAAAAGATAACCCTTCCCAGACCTATGAACCACACATAAACCTGTTTGCAAACTTTCTCTAGACAAGTCGGAGCACTTTTGTGATTAAAAGTAGGTCTGGCCCTAACCGGTTTGGCTCAGTGGATAGAGCATCGGCCTGCAGACTCAAGGGTCCCAGGTTCGATTCCGGTCAAGGGCATGTACCTTGGTTGCGGGCACATCCCCAGTGGGGAGTTTGCAGGAGGCAGCTGATCGATGTTTCTCTCTCATCGATGTTTCTAACTCTCTATCCCTCTCCCTTCCTCTCTGTAAAAAAAAATCAATAAAATATATATAAAAAAAACAGTAGGTCTGGAAGAGATCCCCAGTTATTGGCGAGGTTTATACCTGAACACTGTATTTAGTGTCAATTGCTGTCAACCAATATCTTCTGTGCACCTGCATCATGGACAGAGGCACGTGCCATGGGATATGTAAGACTCGTCTTTACTGTTGGGAGGGGAGACAGCATCAGTTCACAAACCGATCTCTGTAAGATGCAACATGTGTTATGTGGATTTATATGCATATTTCAACAGTGGCGAGGATTTTAAGGGCTTCTTAAAGCTGGTCTCTGGTCTGGTGCCAGAGAGGATGTTCCATGGGGCTTTTAAATGTGGATTCCTGCATTCCCCTTGCCCTTAGAGATTTTGATTTTGGGGTCAGGATTGAGATTTTGCATTTAATAAATGTCATCAGGTGATCCTGTGGCATAGCCTACTGTGAGTTCAAGCCAGCTTCCCTGAGACAAATTTTCTCACCAGAGTAAAAGCTTGGTGGCCATCAGTTACTATCATGCCATTAGTAGGATGCTAGGGCATTATAATTTTCTCTTTTTGGGGCTTCATTTTGACTTTTGTCAGACCTGTTTCTGAAAACACAATACAAAGATTAGAGGGTTTTTATTTTACTAGTGCCAAATATAGCCTATTGCATGTCCCTTATACTTAACAACATGAAGTAGAAAAAAAATTCAGTCATTTAAAAGCTTAGTTAAAAAAATACCAACTATCTAAGTAAACGCAAATATCTGTATAATTGGGCACTGTAACTAC